TTTTTTTATTAGGTCTTTTAATACAAATATCGGTTTGACATTATCGGATATCGGCTGTAAGGAGGAGCAAATTATCGATTATCGGTATCGGTTGAAAAATGCATTATCGTGCATCACTAATAAAAATGTCATTTGCATGATTGTCTTTTGTGTTAGGTGTTTTAGTGGTTATGCATTTTTAGGACAGCAAAGGTGATCGTATTTACATCTCAATTCTGGATCTTAAACTTCATAGACTCATTGTTATTTAAAACGTATGCTGCAATTAGTTGGTAAAAATGTTAATACTATTTTTTTGGCTGTTTATTGTAATGTTAAAAACAGTTATCAGTGTGTACACTATTCTGGAAAGTCTACTACAGGATTAAATAGTACCATTCATTCTACTGTTAAGTACTGTAAAAAAAAAATCACAGTAATTAACTGTTAGAAAAATACAGCAATAATACTGTAANCAGGATTAAATAGTACCATTCATTCTACTGTTAAGTACTGTAAAAAAAAAATCACAGTAATTAACTGTTAGAAAAATACAGCAATAATACTGTAAGAATACAGTAAACTACTGGCGACTACAGCTGTCAGTACTTTACTGTAAACTACACATTCTACAATAGAGTACTGTAATAAATTTTATGGTAATTAACTGTTAAAAAAAATACAGTAAACTACTGGCGACTACAGCTGCCAGTACTTTACTGTAAACTACACATTCTACAATAGAGTACTGTAATAAATTTTATGGTAATTAACTGTTAAAAAAAATACAGTAAACTACTGGTGACTACAGCTGCCAGTAGTTTACTATAATTTTACAGGGATTATTTTTTTTACAGTGTAGCTATCCTTCTTTCTTATTGCCTACCTTCAGGAAGTTTGCTGTGATGTGCAGTAATCTCACATGATTCTGAATGAGACAGACAGAACAAAAACAGTATAAATAGAATATTATGAAGAAGTTGATGTCAGCCAGTGCACTTTCATTATGACTGCAGTGCGTCTCTTTCATAATCTTATTCTTTTCTTTCTTAATTCCTCTTTCTCTCATTTTCTTATCCACCACTTTTGTCAAATTCACCTAAGCAAGTTCTGTGATATTCATTTTTAGTTGTTTTGATAATACTAACACACTCTGCAGCCTAACATTGTAATAAACTCACACCAATAAGTATTAAAGATCTTATTATACCATAACAAAAAATATATTGGGACATTTAATGTGGCATTGTGTGGCTCAGTCGGCTATGCCTGTGTGCCTATAATCAGAAGGTTGCTGGTTCAAACCCAGCCTAATCAATAAGGTATCTGTTATTACTATTAATGAATGGAAACACTGTCTCCCTTCCTCTGGGTCTCAGTGTAGGCTTGATCATTACAGTAGCACAAAGCAGAGGTGGATAGTTCAGGGCCAAAAAAAAAAAATCCAGACAAAGATTTTCTTTCTTCTAACCAGTTGTGCATAAAGTGTCACAGTCAGAGAGTGGCTAACTGGTTAGTTAGAACAAAATCCTGGTCTGGATTTTTACTTTCTGAACCTGAACTATCCTCCTCTGGGCCAAGACAGTTACAGTATAAGGCTATCCCCAGAAGGAATTTGCATCTCATGATGGTGTACACCAGACAACCGCAGCATAGAAGTAGGAAGGATAATTTTTTTTGTTACCTTATTATCAGATTAATTAGCTGAATGAATTCTTCAGTAGATTGAAATTCTGCACATCCTGCATCCTCAAAAACACTGCTTCAGAGCCCTTTAAAGTCCAACTAAAGAAGGCAGTGGTGTTGATAGTCATTTGACTGATAAATAGGGATTATTTGCTGTACCTGAAAGCCATCTTATTTCTTGTGAAAATGTTAGATAACAACTCTGAATTTCCCTCTACTAAACCATGCTGTACCTGAAAGCCATCTTATTTCTTGTGAAAATGTTAGATAACAACTCTGAATTTCCCTCTACTAAACCAGACACACTATGATATCTCACTAGTGAGCCGAAGAACTTCTCATAGCAATGACATGATGATGGTAGCCTCTTTCAGATTAGATTAGATTAGATTAGATTAGATAATCCTTTATTAGTCTCACAAGTGGGAAATTCGCATTGTCATGGCAGAAAGTGGACAGATAATGCTCTCCATCACACTGCAAACTTTATACAAGAATGAACATGAAAAAGAGTTCAAGGTATCAACTTGGTCTCCAAATTCCCCAGATCTCAATCCAATGAAGCATCTATGGGATGTGCTGAACAAACAAGTCTAATCTATGGCAATTTACAGGACTTAAAGGATCTGCTGCTATTGTCTTGGTGCCAGATACCACAGGACACCTTCAGAGGTCTTGTGAAGTCCATGCCTCTAAAAGTCTAAGTTGTTTTAGTGACATGAAGAGAACCTACACAAAATTAGGCAGGTGGTTTTAATGTTAAGACTGATCGGTGTATATATGTTTATGTGTCGATATACACATGCCAAGTCAGCAAATGGGCAGGGAAAATCATCACAAACACCTCACACCCGGCCCACAACTTCTTTGAACTTCTCCCCTCTGACAGAAGCTACAGATCACTGTGTGCCAGAACACAGGCACAAGGACGGGTCCCACAAGCTGCCACCCTTACGAACAGCTGTCTCAGCCCAGTTGCACTGTTACTGCTACATTTTTTTTAAATTAATGGTCAGTTTGTAACTTTTTAAAAAGGAAATGGGATGTACTATACATGAGAAAATGATACTTGAAGTCCATTATGGAATGGAACTTCTCATAGTCATTGTTGTATGGTTTTTTTTTTCCACTTCCAATTATTGCCCCCTATTTACAGCAGCTCATGGCATTGTAAAGCCGTGCAGCAGGTAGTCAATATTTTTAAACTACGCACAACTTCGTATTTTGTGCATTCTTAACTGAATTTGACAATGGCCACATTGAGTGTTACCTCCTGTCTTTGCTGTGGAGGGCACCAAGGTTGTCTCGTATATGTTTTCAGTTGACCTGTCCAGTGTCCTGTATTCTGAGTCATTATCTTTCCCTGTGAAGTGAAAGGAAGAGCAGAAGATGCTACAAATCAGGGAGATGCTATAGGAAAACTAAATGAATATGTGAGATGGTCCCTCTTATACCTGTTTTTTCCAGAAGCTCACTTTCTTTCACCGTTCCCAGTTTCTCTTCATCTTCTCCCTTCTGATGTTCTCCGCTTACTTCCAGCTTTTCAAACTTTTGCAACTCCATCTTGCCTTTCTTCTAAGTTTCTACTTTCACTTTAGCTGATAACCCTACTAAGTCGGAGCCAAAATCATGGTTACAAGACTGAAATCTTTAAGAACCCCCCCTTCCCAAAATTGGATATTTTTACCATCTTATAAGTATCAGCATGTGCAAGGTCAAGGTGATTTTTTTTACCAGCGAATTACAGAAGTGTAAGAAACTTCAAGAAAGTATTTTGGATAGATAATTGAAATAACAAGGCATAGGACAATACATTGCTGTAAAGAGATAAAGATTATGAAAAGCAAATACAAGGACTGATTCCCACACTTACTACCATTCGGAGCACCACTTCAGGTTTTGTCTTTTCATTTAGTTTGCAACACTTCCCCTTTATGCAATTTATAAATTGTTCCCTCCTTTCTAACCCCTTCCCCTTTACATAATTTATACATTTTCCCTCCTTCTTAACCCCTCCTCTCCTGAAATAAATTTGCACATTTCAACTTTTGTTCTATCAAGCTTAAGTCCACACTACAGTCTTGTGAAAAAGAGAGTACAAAAAAAATATTTTTTTTCAACACTGACAAAAAAACAAATATTAATTTTCATTTCAACAATCCTTATAGAGAAATATGGTAAAATTGAGATGATAAGATGTATCAGGTAGTCTGAAAGAACCCTAGGGTGCCATCAAGGGATCTAGAAGCAGCTCTTGCCACCCATCATGTGGAATTGCCAGAGACAACCATAAGCAAAAGATGGCCCACATGGCAGGTCTACAAGGAAGAGGCTTCTGCTCTCAAAAAATATAAAGAGCATCAACACAAGACTGAAACATCAGCACAAGGGACAACAGTTCAGCAGTATGATGCTCTGGATAGCTGAGACAAAGGTGGAGTTGTTTGGGCACAAATCCAAATGTCATGTTTGGTGAAAAAAAAACATTTTGGAAAATTAACATCAGCAACTGTGAAGCTTGGTGGTGGGAGCATTTGGTTTGGGGCTAGCCGATCTGCCACATTTTACCATTAGGCGTATGAGTGCTTTTTGGATGTACAAATTTCCACACTTCTGAAGTACACATATTCTCCCCCTGGCAGTGTAGTCACACGTACAGCGATTATCCTGAAAACGAAGACACAGTGTGCAATTCAACATGTAAGAAAACACTGATACACCCTCAGTGATTTTCACTATTTGGAAGACATGGAACAGGGAGTTTTTAATTTAACGTAATATCCACATAAATCCAACAACAAAACTTCTGTTTTAACAATGAACGCATAGTGAGGTAGCCTATTGTGTTTAGGAATGAATCCATATACTTTTCAGTTTTTTTTCCTTTATTCAAAACAATTCTGTAAACAAGCAAATATATTTAACCAACAGATATAGTGTTATGTTCGTAATATCAGTAAAAAGTTAGTAATGCTAGCAACATGGATAGAAAGTTTAGAATGCATCGCTGATAAACGAATATTCGGTAATGCTTTACCCATGACTGTACCTTGAAAATGCCTTTATAATTATATCCATTTGTTGAACATTCAGCGCACCGTAATAATGCATTCATAGATCATTCATAAGCAGCATGTAAGTAAACATTAACATACTAACATACCTGAACAAGGATTGCGTGGACACACTACTTCTTTAGAAATTCTTTCCGCTCATCTTAATTGCAACATGGACTAAACTACTAGATGATGCACGCTATTCAATAAAGGGCACAAAGCATGCCCCAAAGCATACCAAAAGCACCATCTAGTGCGGTCAGAAAGTACAGCAAATGGTTCATGAGGCATCCTTTTGTCCATCACTACCTCTATCCATCAATACAATTCAAACAAAGATTAAAATAATGGTTTGTCAAACTTGTTGAAAATGAAAAAGATCTTACTTTTCACAAGACTGTACATACATCAAGCCAACCAGCTTGCACCCCACTTCAGTACAGTGTCATTGGGTGATTCAATAATTTATTCATTAATCTCTTATAACACTTGTTGTGAGGTTGTGGCGCCTATCCCAGAAACATTGGGCACAAAGCAAGGAATAACCGAGGACAGGGCACCAGTCCATCACTGGACACACACACAAACTCCAGACACACTGAGCAGAGTGGGGAATGGAGCCCTGTTATCCAGAGGTGAAGTGACCATGACAACCACTGCACCAGTGTACTCCCCCAATTATTTATCACTTGTATAATGTTGCTGAAAAACTGGGGTTTATGATGCTACATCACAACACACATCCTCCCTTTGCATGACACCTAAAAATTGGGAAATCTCACACAACAAATGTTTCATTTTTTATTTTGCTTGAAAAGTTTAACATAACTCTAGAAAAACTAAATGCACAGGACTCAGTTGAAAGCAAAAAACAGAAAGCAGATATGTCTCCTCTGACTTTTTCATCTCCAACACACAGTTGTTTTCCAGCGTTGCTCTGACTTTCCTCTTTCTCATCATTGTCATTAATTAATGAATATTGATAACCAATGCAATACAGGAGCAAGACATTGAGAAACTCACACAAATGAACCTGCTATCTTGTTGTATAATTTCTTTCAGAGAATCCTGAATGTATAATTCAAAAGTGAAACAGCAGTGGTATAAACATATAAAAGTAGTGTCACCTCTCACAACCCCAGCCCCTATTCCCTCCTTCCCCCTTCTCCTCAAGCGCCATAAACACTTTCAGTGCTATAGGTCATGTACAGAAAGAGATCCTCTTCATGGTGTTCCTAAAATAAATGGACACAGAGAAAAAAGCTGGGTGTAATCATCCATTAAAAGGGGGCATTGTGAGAACCCCAGAGAACAGCGGGAGGGTGAAGGGATTACCTCGTAGACAACCGAGAGAGGGGAGCTCGACGGAGGCAGCAAGTTATTGACGAAAAAAAAAAGTGCCTCCTCCGGTCGCATAGAAACCCGCTGCCTGATTAAGAAGCACAGTTGACCCACTAGGAGAGGCGAGCAGAGAATCTGTCAGCATTACAGGTAAATATGGTTTTGCTTTAGTTTTGCCTGGAACATACTATTTCATCACATGTTATGACAGTATCAAGCAGAGGTGGAAATTTCAGGTCCAGAAAGTACAAATCCAGACCGTGATTTAGCTTCAACCAACCAGTTGCACATAAAGAGTCACAGTTACAGAGTACTCCACTGGTTGGTTGAAGCTAAATCACGGTCTGGATTTGTACTTTCTGGATCTGAAATCTCCACCTCTGGTATCAAGCGTGAATTGTATAGATGAATATCACTCGGTGCTGCTGAGTATTTGATACGTCTGACAGCAACAGCAACAACATACAAAATCATACGTGCAGCATGCAACAGTTCAAAATAGTTTTAAGTAACCTGTGAGATCAGATGGAACAAGGTACTTCTTCTTATCCAGGTCTGGTGCTCTTGATCTAGGCGCCCTCTCAACGATAATCTAAATAAGGAACAACATTTCAAAGTTTTTAAGCAAAAAAGAAATCTTATAATTTCCATATAACCTACAAAAATGCATATGCATGGATACAGAGATAATTAACACACTCCCGGGATGGACGGTTCTGCTTGCATGAAAGTGTAGCAAAATAAATGGTAAACTTACCGGTATCTTGTCCGGATGCTTCGCTCGGACTCTCTCCCCCTCAGCCTTCCTCACATCCAGCGGCACACTGCGCTTATACTGGCTGCCCATCTAGAGAAAAATAGAAACTGTGCGTTTACTGATAGGAAAACCACGCTACTATAAAATCACGCATAATGCTACCAAGACATCTCATAAGCGTAAACAGATTAATGATTATAGAATGACAGAGTGACATGTTACATGTTGCGTTTTGAAACGAAAATCAAAAACAATAATACGTATATGTAGCCATCCCGCTAATGATCCCTCGTCCCAACGCGAATGCGCATTAGCTGAAAGTCATCTGAACGAAAACAGCAATAAACAGGAAATTGATCAGCTGAAGATTTCCAGGCAGATGTCAGTATTTAGCGATACAGACACTTGCGAGCTAATTAGCAATCCACCCGACGCCCACGACCCATCCATAGCATGACAGCTTTCCTGATCTCCGAAACTCACCTTTGGATTAATAATTAAGAAAAAGTATTAACAAAAATCCCCAAAATTGCAAATTTTTCTTCTAGTTACTGAAGAATATAAACCATATAAATGCAATATGAATGGCAATGTGTAACTTTAATTTTATTAAGTCTTTTTAAAATGTCGACTATTCCACTTCTCCTACAGAAACAACAACAAACAGAATCAACGCCCCATTATGTCTATTTTAACCAATCATCTGCAAGTACACAGATTTCTGTCCATTTGGCAGCAAGTTAGGGGAGGGATTTCATTTGTTGACAGCATTTCTATTGGTCTGTTTTCATGCTCATCTTGTATATGCAGCCCGTTATTCCGCTTGGTTTTGCACAGATGGGACCAATGGAAAGCAGGTAGATGGCTGGGGGCGTGTCTCGTAGTGTGAGTTGTACGTGTGCTGCGTGGTGTTCCTTATCCTTCGTACGAGTCGCAAGCGCGACGGTTAACTTCAATGCAGTAGGCTCCAGATAAATCAGCAGAATCCGAAATATAGTTTACTTTAAACAAACTGTTTTATCCAGTCCAGTTATTTCGACGAACATGCAAATGTTGTGGGTGTCTCTCGTGTTAACTTTTGCGACTACAAATGCAAACTGTAACCATTTGCTACGTGATGAGCATGTATGGGCATGACTGAATCTGATATGGCCTGCAGCTAAATCATTATGTGTAATATTCAGCCCAGCTGCCGTCCGTTTTTATATTATGCATTACAAAATTCCCACCTGGAAATCTTCAGTGGAAATGGAAAATGACACATTTATAAGAGAGATATCTAAATTACTCTTGTTAGCAAAGTGTCAGAAGGGCATTCCCACTTTGGTTATCCACATAGGAATTCAATCTTTAGGGAGTGTTTGGTGACACAGAGGTAACAACCCTATGATTCACCTGGCTTCTGTGCCAGCTATGAAAACCTGTCTTAAATATTGTTTAGCAATTTCAACATGACAAGCTTTCAATACACAAGAACAACAAGAAGGTTACATGGGTCGGTATAGCTTTTCTGTATAATGGGTGACAGGTCACATCCGGTCTTGAAACGTATGTTTATTATCTTATTCAGTTGTTAAGCTGATTTTCGTACTACCATGACAACCACAGTCTGACCTTTTCCATAGGTTATTCAGTTGATGGTTTCCTGGCTGACATTAGCCATAGCCTGTAGCTTTCCTTTGCACTGGATTGTGATTACTTTCTTCACATAGTGTGCATTATGTATGCATAGAATTGGTAGCAGCTTTACAAAGAACTTCTGCAAGGTACAGTATATGGAGCCAGAAAAATACTGATAATTGCATTTTAATGTAACTATTTTCTACATTAAAAACATTCCATTGTATTCTGTTCTGTTCTTTTGTTAGTATGGAGTTTTGAATGTACCTTGTGACCGAATAAAGTGGCCCACAAGTCATTTGGTTTTATTCATCCGCCCACCCATCCATGTTCCCTTACTTAATTGACTTCAGTACATGATCATGGTGAGTCTGGAGCCTATTCCAAAAAGTAAGTAATTAAGTACATTTTTATTCATAAAGCACATTTACATTTAAAAACAAGTGAAGTTTACCAAAGTGCTCCATAATATTTACAAACAGTATGTAAAAAAACAGAAACATAACACAGGGAGTGATGAAAACTTTAGACGGTAAAATATATTGTTAATTTGAACTGAATGCAAGTTTGATGTACAAACTGCCCATAGCACATGGTTGGCTGTGTGAGTGTCTGCATTGGTGTGCCTTATAACTGACTGGCATCCCATCCAGGGTGTCAAATGCCAAATCACACACAAGTACTAGCTATTTAGTTTTCTTGATTGTTTGGTTGAAGTGTGCTGGGAGCTGAGAATAAGCAAAAATGTGGATTGTCTGAGGGGTCCCAAGGACCAAACTGAAAAACACTGTATGTTCTGGAACAGTGACAGGAAACCAGAGTACCCACATGAAATACAGAATGAAAACTGCTATTTCCACACAGTCATATGGGATTAAAATTGAAAAAATTATATATAAAATATATATATGTTGGCTATAAAATTACATGTAATCCAGATAATTTGATTCTAAATCTCAATAAAAATTTCCATTGGAAATCCAAGGTGATTTTATTCAAATCCTAAACTACTTTCTGTCTTGGGCTTAGGGTATAGGGTATTTGTTTGTATTACTGGTTATGTTTGCTCTTTAGGGTGACAGACAGCTATTTGAGTTTTCTACCTTTTTCTTTCCTTCCATTAGTTCGTAATTACATGAGACAACATTTTATTACAAGGATAAAAAGTCTCTAGTCAACCAGTTTTAATGGAACAACAAGCTACACTTTTCCACAGTTAAACTATATAATCTATTTACATTTTCCTTATTAATATACACAACAAAACACAAAAATATTTGTTGTATGGGCACCTGCAGTAATTAAGTTTATCTTTTGAAAATTATACAGACACTTGAGCAATTAACAATAGCAGATGTCATACACATCTAATTCGCCATAATACACAATTTTTACTAAAAGTTCTGAGGAAATACCCAAGCTTCCTCATTCTGAAGTGTGCTCACCGCTGCCCTACTTTGCTATATATACATAATACTTTCCTTGTTTATCTTGCCAGTGGTATATATACATACATACATGATTTATACAGGAAACACATTACCATAGTACTGCAGTGGCATGGGGGAAACAGAAGTCAAACAGGAATATGAAGAACTAGCCTTCTGTAAATTGATAGCTTGTAATTTGCAAACACGTGTTTCTCAAATCCTATTTGGCTGTTATACCTTTGGCATCCAAAAAGAAATAAAAAAACATTATTCCCTTATTTGGTGTGTTCCCCAATAATACTTAATTCAAAAGTAAAAAAATATATATTTGCCTGTTAGACATACATAACTATGGTTAATGAACATATTCCCTAGACACTGAACTTAAAGAATGGGTTCTCACTGCATATTTTTGAAATTTCTTAAGTCACAGTCTCGTTTATTACATGACTGTTGGACATATTCAGCACTTGCTTAGTGAGTCGCGGTAGCAGTTTTAATCTTCTGCGTGTCCAGTAGGTTGCGCTGTCTGGCTCTTGCGTTAACAATGGGCTCCAAATGTCCATTGGGAGCCCATCCTCTCTGTCTGTCCGAAAGCCTCGTGCCCTCAACCCAGCCTGAGAGAAAGGAAAACACAGACAGTGAACTAATGAATATATCAGCATAAATGACTGGTATGTACAAACACATTCAAAGCACCATTTTAAAGGAATCTGTTTTATCTGTGGAACACTGATCTCTCTTACCATCACTGCTCTGCTGGTGAACCAGTAGGACGTCGGCTTTCTCCAAGGATATTTCATCTGGTTGCTGGGCAACAAAAGCTTTGACACACTGAACCTGGACAAGGTCTGTGAGTTAGAGTAAATGAAGTAAATAATGTGAACACATGGTACTGATTCAACCAATAACACGGAAAATGCTTCTAATAAGGGTACTGAGAAAGGCTGGTACCTTGTGCCATGATGAAATCTATGTCGGGATGAGGTCGGGAAAGAGCAGACATCCAGCGCAGTTTATCGCTGCTGAAACGGTAAGAAAAATCAAGGTCAATGTGTAAAATCTTTTTGTCAACATTGTAGAACCATCCTATATATTATAAAATTGTATAATGCTTAATTCATTACAACCCATACTTCATAAACTCTCCTTAAACCCCAAGTATAAGATCATCACAGAATCTGTAGTGAGTAAATTGAATTGAATTCAGTTGAATTCCTTTATTGTCATTGTACACAGTATGTTAACGAGCTTGCCTCATTGGATAGCAGCAAATAACTACAGATAATGTATCTGCATAGAACATTTTATTTTGATATTTCTGATGTTTTTTTCTGTGTTGGTTGTCTTTCCCCCAGTTACTTCAGAGCAAAATGGTGAGAATAGGCTGAGGTATGGATGAAGATCTATGCTCATCCCACACGCCGGTGGCAGTGGGGCGTGGCTCTCCTACTGTGTGTCACTGCGAAGCAGCAGAGCCCTCTGAGGCGCCAGGTGGAGGCGGAACACGTTCTTCTGCAGGGAGTGCAGCTTGACGCGGCAGTTCTCCACACGAATCTTTGTCGTGGGAGCGTAGTCAATCACAGAGAACCTGCCACTTCTAATAACCAGGAAAGCAGAGGCTAATATAGTGACCAGAGATGCACAATAACTTGATCAATAACTATAGCAGCCTTGCAGACAGAGACGCAGATCAGTATGTAACAGACACTAAGTTTCTGGTTAAGTAATACATTGAGTAAGAGTGTGTTACTGCATTATCTATGCACCCTCAAGTAAAGTGTTACCTCCACTTTTATTGAGTTGAAACAGGGTACCCATGCTTTTTCACTCTTTCAGCCAGGGAATTTGAACAATAGACCTTCTGATCAGAGGCACAGACTCCTATATTGCTGAGCTACATGCAACCCACATACTAAACACTAAACCAACAACCACATGGACAGCACTCTCCTTTGGTAATAAGGGAATTCAGCATGTAAAAATGAATTAGGCTGTGTGCACAGGAGCTTGTTCACATACTCACTCTTTCTGGAGCGACAGCAGCAGGTAGTCATTGAAAAGGTGCAGGTACACAGTCCTTTCCATCACTTTCAGGGCAAAATCACACATTTCTGCTACAGAGCCCTCCCGTATGATCCTGCGGGACTGGCTGACCAGAGGCAGCGTCTGAGGAGAAGAGCATCCTTTCACAATGATCCATCCATCTCTTAATCACTTATCCCGGACCAGACTGCTGGCTAGAAATGATGTCTTGTTTAATGAAATCATCATCCATGCTTATATAGTAAGGATTTAAGGATTGTACTGGTATTTTAACAAACCACAAGGATGAATAGCTACCCAATAATTGTTAATAATACATTTTTTTATATATTTATATAGTGCCTTTCTCACACTCAAAGATGCTTTACAATGCAAACAATAATACAATAAAGAAATGCACATACAGCAATAACAGCAACAGCAAACCAACAATAACAAGAATGTCACGTACTGGTTATATAAATTATAGCATTCCTGAAATAAATGAGTTTTCAACTGATGCTTGAAAATATTAACTGACTGTACCACAAACAGACTTTGAGTAACTGTATTCCGAAAAAATCAAGATTGAGACTGATAAAACGGTAGACAACAGCAATAAACATCGGTGAGAAGCGGCAGCCAAAACGCGCTCAGCGTTCGCTCGACCGGAACCAGAAATCCCCCGAAAAGGTCTCTCTCTGTGCCCATGGAGAATGATAAGACCATTGCAGTTCAATGATATTTACCTTGCATCCAAAGTCCACCTTGGAGCTTAGCGAGACTAATGATTCAATACTCTTCATTTGAGTAATGCTGTCATTGCTTTCCTTTATGATCTGAAAAAAGATGGGAGTGGATAACTTCACTGGACACTGGAGTAAAACGTCAACACGGAGGAAAGAAGTAGAGAGATGGCATACCTTCTCAAGTGACTTCAACGTTTTGATAGCCCGTACCTCCTCCTCTGTGTTTGAGACTGATCTCTTGACAATGTTCTGCAAAGGATAATAAATAGTCACCTCTGAAGCAGTGTAACACGGCTTTACTAAGGCAGAAATGCAAATAGAGGCACTAATTTGATGCAAGCAGTGACAAGGACCTGTACAAGGAGCTTAAGTCGCGTGATCCTCTGGAAGGGCAGGACAAGGAAGGAGCGCAGAGGCAGACGCTGACACACCGGACTGCGCTCCAGGGTCTCCACGGCACGCCGGAACCCGGGACATTCCTCCCTGAAGAAGCAAGAGGGTGCATGCAGGATTCTGACCGAACCGAATGAAAACACTGAACATATAGATGCCTATTACAGTAGAGGCTACATGCGACATTCTCCAAGTGTGTATGACTTTGAGTGACAATTCAAATAACATGACATTAATTTATTTTACCCGAAATTTAAAACAATCACAGAAACAAATAGAAACTTTATAATAGATTAGATTAGATCAGATCAGATCAGATCAGATTAGATTCAACTTTATTGTCACTGTATTGAGTACGGTACAGAGCCAATGAAATACAATTAGCATCTAATCAGATGCAAATAAAATACATTTATACAATAAAGTATAAATAAAACAGATAACTTATAAATATTAATTATGTCCTGCACAAAATCTGCAGCATAAGGTGCAGACAAAAAGTTCAGGACAGGAATTACTGTGATGGAAATATGACAAGATGCAATGAATGTAATAATCAAGATACCACCACTAATGCAAAAAAACAACAAAACACTTACAACATTTAGACAAAGCTACACAAAATAGTAAAAAAAAAAAAGTAATTGAAGAGAAAAGCATATTTAAACTTACATAAGTCTTTGGTAAGTCTTGTCCTGGTATGATTGGTTGGTGAGATAAGGCACATAGACCGATCGGAATCGAGAGCAGTAGCGCATGATGATGTCACACACAGTAAAGTGCATTATGTCCTTCTCTATCTGCTCCTCCAGTCTGGACAGGAAACTGAAAATGGATGAGAAGGGTACAAAGGTTCCCAACAGTCTATCACAAGGCAGAAACTCACACACACAACTACACATTACGGGCAATTTAGAAAGACAGATTATTGTAACTATATGTTTTTGGGCTGAGGTTACATAAAGTACAGCAGGGTGATATTAAAACAGAACATGTAACGAACACCTATATACATGTATTAATGGGAAATGGTTCCATACCTGTGACTGAGAGCTCTGACATCCTTGAGTCGGGAAAATAGCCAGTTCTTGTCCTGTGCTGACAGCAGCGCTGCCAGCTGCTTTGACTTGACAAAATGGTCTACTGCAATATCTAAACTCCGGCAGTAGGAGGCCTCAGAGGTCACCACCTCAAACCGCACCTGCAAAGGGATACTTCACTAAAGGTAAATGTAATGACAAACAGTGCTGTGGCCATAAAACAGACCATCGTTTTTGAGAGCTACTGAATCCTGATCTGGAAGGGAATGCTGGATTCACCTCCTGTAGACGTCGCTCATCTTCATTTAGGTTGCTCAGTTCGCTGCTTTTCCTGACTCCGGGTAGGTCCTGCCAGAGAACGGGGGATAGGGAGGAGACAGAGAAGCGTGGAGAGGAGGATCGTGGAGGTGGTGGTAGCAGTGGAAGAGAGCGTGTGCTTCTGTTGGGCAGGGTGTTGGATTGGTAAAGTGAGTGAGGGTGCGGGATAGAAGGGACAGCGGGCAAGGGCCGCCGAGAAAGCTGGGACGACAGGATTGGCAATGTGGGAGAAGTGGCATCCGAGCAAGACTGCAGGAGAATCTCCTGGTTCTGAACCACCTCACAGTACTCCTGATAGAGCTGGGAATCTGGGGGAGGAGAATAGAGAAAGACTTCTTTTATATGCACACCTGTGGCCTGTGCCCTATTGTAGGTGGTTTATTTGTGTGTTGTAACTGAATGTCCCTTCGATGTTTTTAGCACATTCTACAGGATCTGTTTGTCTCATCAAATAAAATTTCAGAAATAATAGATGATTATTGTAAGAATCCAGAAAAGATTTTGCTAATCAGGTATATATTATCATCCGGTGACAAGCTATAACAATTAATGCAAAACTATAAAAATAAAAAATGAAAGTCGTAAGAAAATGAAACAACTGGAGTGATATAAAGTCAACACAATGTCAGCAATGGAGGATTTCTAACTAAAATCAGATAAATGTGCAAATTCCTCATGTCAGAAGCTGCGGTTCTGGAGCCGTGAGGCAGAAACAGCACTACTGGATCCCTATAACCATCTTTGCGGCTTCTCTTGCCGGTTTTGTTTTTATTCTTAGATCCAATCAGTGATTTGTCCCTATATCAGCAAAATGTGCCGCCCCAGATATACCACTCCATCAGGGCCAAAAGGTTTAAATGATCTGGATGGAAAAGTTGTCAAGAACTACTCACTAAAAAATCTGGAGTTCTTCTTCTTGGGTCTTCTAAGGGAATCTGATATTGTTCTTCAGGAGGAAAGGATATAGATATTTAATTTGAGCATGCAGATGAACTTTTCTCACTTTTTCACAAGAATAAATCGATATATAAAAATGATGTGAAGAGTATTATGCTGTCTTGATGTTATTTTTTTAATCACTAGAAGTTAAATACCCTTCTCTGTTTTACTTTGTTACTTTTGTAATATAATTTGCATTTCAAGTGATTTGCATTCTCAGTTATTTTTCAAGTAATTTTTGGTATTGTTGAAAAAAAATTGCTATCATGATTAATTGGTATAGTCTTTCTCTATATCACTCACCCTGCATACTTATTCAAAAATATTTAACATCTGATTTTATTTCAGGCCTACAGTCACATCAGATAAAATGACATAATTCAGGAGTGCTTGGGACTAGCTTTGTATACAGTGAGTTGCATGTGTTGTGTCACCTTAGCTCCGCCTCGCCACAGCTGAAACTCAGCTTGTCGTCATCTTCTGGAAAAAATAATGGAATAAAAATGGCACTATTTGACAATATGTCCACTTACAATGTTTTCACAGCTGTTAGGTGTCTCTGTTCACAGACTGAAGACATGCTACTGATACATGGAGAAAGAGTTAAACTGGTTAATGAAATAGAATATGCATTAAAGTATCCATAAACTAATAAAAACCCAACTATTCCTATACCCATCTGTGGCTGGTGACCCCTAACACTTGACCCCTTAAACTCTGTGTAGATGGTTATATTCATTATTTTAAGCAAACAGACTGAGACTGGAATCAAACTGCCTCATTCCTTGTTGATTTCCCCTTTTCTCACCTGATACATCAAAAACTCTTGGGCTGATAATTCGTCCTGACTCATCCTCCCCATCTTTACATCTGTCCGTTGCCTTCCGGCACATTCTTCTTAAGAATGCTTCATCTGCCTGATCTTGAAAATAATAAGAGTCTTCCTCTTCGTTCTGCATCTCGCATCTTTTCTCAGTATGTCCCTTGGCAGCTGATGTTGGGGATTTGCTGGGGCTGCTCACGGGGCTGGGGCAGCTATCAGACTTGGAAAGTGTTCGTTTTGTGATTGGCAAGTGACAGATTTGGTCTGTCTCACTATTTGTACAGCTTTCATCTTTTGCAGTCATCCGGATGCCTGCATCTGCACCAACCTGTGCATTCTCCCCTTCTACACTTACAACAGTGATTGGGTCTGATTCCACAAAAGCATCTGTGCTCAGTTCTGAATTCTTCATTTCCTCTTTTTCATTGCTGGTCAGCATGTCACTGTAGCCATGTGTTTTTATCTGTATACATTCCTCTGTGTTTTTATCATTGTCACAATTTGTAATTGGGTCTGAGGTATCCTGTGTATCCATCTCTGGACTTTCTTCCTGTTTTTCAGTGGGACCATCCTCAGATGCACCAGGAATTTCAGTCGTAATGTCCACTGAACTCTTTAAATAGGGGGTAGCCTCTTCCTTACATTGTTCTACATTGTTCCTGCTGGTTGATTCATCGGTTGTTTGGGAAATGGGTTGCGTCTGTCTTTGGTTGTCTGGTTCATGTTCTGAACAGGGCTCTTTGTCAGGCTTCCAGTTGGCTGTAAACATGCTCTTGTTCTCCCCTCCATCACCGAGTTCTGATGGTAGATCTAAACAAGGCTCAGTGTGTCTCTTTCCCTCGTTGGAGCTTTCAGAAGTATTTTCTGTCCCTGATTCATTTTCCTCAGACATAACAATCCCGCCATTTTCAGAGCATTCATAACCTCCATCCTCATTTAAATACTGATCAGTACCTTTACTATCATTTGACTCTAGAGGGATTTCAAAGTTTCCATCACCATGTGGCTTTTTGGAGACACATAATGTATCCAGACTGCTCTCATCATCAGATTTTTCAGTGTCTTTTTTTGCTTCTTTCTCCCTGTCAATAGCATTCTCACTTTCAACCAAAGGAAGGATGCTACCATTGTCAGGCCCTAGATTTGTATTTAATTCTTCTGTGTGTTGACGTTCCTCATTTTTACGCAGAGTCTGTCCAACTACAAAGAACACTGTAACTTTTTTGTCGTCATCATCATCACCATTTCCATCATCACCTTCTCCATCATCATTGTCAACATCATCACCCTTCTTTGCTTCAGGTGCTTTGCTGTCTTGCACTTCATCCATTCTGTTTCTTTTCAAATCTAGATCATCCCCCATGTCTGTCAGCTCTTTGGTGCTCTCATCTTCTCCTTCCAAAGTTCTATCTCCATCATCTCTTTCATGCTGCTCTGTACCCTTCTTCATCTGTTCTGCATTCTGAAATTCTACAGACTGTAAGTCTTCATCAGATGTAGCAGCACATAGCAAAAATTCTTTGCCATCTTCAAGGGTCTCCTCATGCTCCTCCTGTCCCCCACTAGAGACTGCTGCCAAGCCATCCTCCATCCCCTCCTCTTGTTTCTCCTCTCTTGCACTTTCTCCTTCGTTCTCAGAGGGACTGCATTCCTCACTCACATTCCCCACCTCATGCTCACTTTCATCTGTGCTGCCCATCACATACTCTGTCAGGTTTTGGTTTATGTCTTCTCGCATCTTACTATGTGCATCATTCTCAGATTCCAAATCCCCATCACAGCACATCTCCTTCCCTAACCATTTGTCATTTTCATCCTCATCCTCTCTATCTCTTTCTGGTTTTCTTTCAGCTCCTTTACCATTTCCCTCATTCTCATCCCACTCTGATACCCTCTCTTCTCCTCTAGTAAATTTCCCTTCATCCATGGGTATTTGTATATCCTCATCAACACACTGTTCATGAATTGCCTCTCTCTCTGTGATCTCCAGGCCCTCTTTCTGTGAGTCTATCCACATCCTGCTTGGCCTCTGCTTTTTGTCTTGTGTTGTCTGTCTCTCTCTCTCCTTTTTCCCACACTCCACATCACTGCCATATCCCCATGGTCTACTTCTAGTGTCTGTCCAATGCTCATCTATACTTTTACTTTCCAGGTCTCCTTGTTTATTCGGACATCTTTCCCTACCTAGACTGTGAAGTTTCTCCCATTCCTCTCGGGAATATTTCATAGGATCTCTACCTTTTTCTCCATATTTCTGCCAGTTTCCCATATGCCATGACTGTGTTCCTTCTCTTCCTGTTTCTGGCCCTCTGATTCTCTGTTTGCCATCATATCTCTCCATTTCTATTTGCATTAATCTATATCTATATCTGTCTTTTTCTCTCCTTCCCTCAATCTCTCTGTATCTTGCTTTTGCTTTGTCTTGTTTCTTACCTCTTTGCATGTCCCTCTCTTTATACCCCCAGCCATCCATGTACCTTTCTCGTCCCTTCTCCTCACAGTCTCCCTCACTCCTACTATGTTTCTGCTGATGTCCCCTCTGAGGGTCTAGCTCCCTTCCTTGTAGAATATCTCCTTCACCATCTCCATCACTTTTTGTCACTCTATGCTTCTGTCTCTTCCTCTCCCATCCCTCTTGATCAGAGAACTTCTCAGTTTCTGTTTCAGGTATTTTCAGTCTCTCAGCTGGACGGTGTCCCTTGCTTCTCTCATATTGGTTGGTTCTCCCACCTTCTCTTTCTCTGTCTCTTCTCCTCTGTCTTTCACCCTGTAACTCCTTCTCCTCCCACACTTCTCTGTGTCTGTATCTTGGACTCGGTTCCTTCCGTATTTCACGTTGCTCTAGTTGTACTTCTTTATCTCTCACTCCTCCTCCATTCTTCCGGTATTCTTTCTCTCTATTATAATCGTTCCATCTCTCCATGTCTCTATTCCTTTGAATGTCTCTCTGTTCATCTCTTGGACGGCCTACTTTTCTTTCTCTGTAGCTGATTTCTTCCCTTTCTATTCCTCGTTGTCTCTCTTGAGGCTTAGTTCGTCCATCACCTTCTCTGCACATACTTTTTATCAGTCTCTCCACTCGCTCCCTGCTTGTTTCTGGCATTTGATGAAATATGCCACCTTCTCTCGATCTTTCCTTCCCAGTCTTCTCACTGGCAAGCCTCTCATTTTGTCTCCGCACTTCCTTCCCTGACTTAATGTATCTTCCCTCTCTTTCCTGTGCTGTTCCTACCAATTCCTTTTCCCTTTCCCCATGACCTAGTGCCAGCCCTCTTTCTCTCTCCCTCCTCCATTCTTTACTTCTCTCTATTTCTCTTTCCCTCTTCCATTCTTCTTCCTGGTCGCGCTCCCGTTGTCTCACTGCTTGCACTGCAGTGTCACTTTTGGGACTGGATCCTCGAGCAGTGTGATCCTTTGGTTTGAGGGCACTCACAGATGGGTTTTGTCCGGAAGACTGCAGTGAACCAAAGACATTCCAGCTGAAACCTTTAGTCCCCATGATAACATGCTTTTCAGGATCTATAAGACAAAAATCATGTTTCCATGTACTACAATTAACTTGTCTAATTCATGCATGACCAACAATGCGTTTAAACATTTACTGCATTTGTATGTTAACAACTATTTTACAACTACAATTACATTATATATGCTTTGACCTATGAACATTTATTAAAAGTGACTCACACCACAATTTTATTTGCTTATACCAAGAGACAATTGAATGAATTGGCCACCCTGTTACCAATTGCTGCAATATAGCCATTTTGCTGATTAAATGACAATCCCACAGCCCTGACCAGGAGAACCAGCTGGAATATGGATGTATGGTTGTAATAATAATAATAATAATAATGATGATGATGAAGATGGGTGACCCTATTTCAATTAGCAATACTGCTGTAGACAGCAATGTAACAGATCTGAATGCTCCAGAGCATTACTGAAATGCCTGCGCAGTAGTGATATTTTTACTTTACCATCAAACATTCATTACACTAAGAAAATTTAGGTATTTTAAGAAAGATTTCATATCAAGACTGAATACTGTTCATAACAGGGTGCAGCAACAAGCTGCAACTGTAAAAATGGGTTAGGACTGTTGTCTCATATTTAAACTGGAAAGACAAGTTAAAACAACTTACTTCAACTTGATAAATCATGGAAAAAATGCCAAGACTCACCTGAGTTTGTTAAGCAAGGAAATCTCTCCTTTTTTTTCCTAAAGCAATAAACCAGACCTTTTTAGAATTGCACAATACAGCATAAACCCACATTTCTGTAGTCCAGTAACAAGATCATTTTGTGCTTTTGAAGGTGACTTTTATGAAAAAGTAATAGTAACAGTAACAATCCAAGGAAGAATAAGAGAAGGATGATTTTTCTTTTTCCCTTCTTCTGAAAACAAGCGTCTATGCTGCGACTGACTTCCTCTCTCCGCTTCACTTCAGATTTCACTCCTCATTCCCCTTCCTCCCTCCTTTCTCAAATTCCCAAACAAGTCTGAACAAATTGTCACTTTACCTTTCCCAGTGCCTTTTGTCTTCTACAGAATCCATGTTAATCAATACTGAAAGGTTTTTCAGTTACACAGTTAAATTATATTGCACCAGTCTTCCTTCTCATTGCTTAAGAATGGAATGGACACTCGAAATTATTAACTCTACTCAAGTTATCTTTCTTTCTGACTCCATTCCAAAGACAGGAAATGTACCTGCTCGGTGTTCCTCTCTGTGATTGGTGAATGGTGAAGGCTGGGTGTGTCATTGTATTACAGCAGGTAAGGCAGTGGCAATGGGGGGGGGGGGGGGGTATGTGTTTACACTCTCTATATGTCTAGGGAGGAGAAATTAACCATTTAAAACCCAGATTCCATATTAAAGGCACCTCCATATTTTTATACATATCATATTGTAAACTATGTTTCATTTTCTGGAGTTAGTTGTATTTAACTGGAAAAAGAGAGTACAAGAGTATATTAATTAAACCTGCTGAGCAACTGCAGGCATAGGTGTATATATAAATACACACACACACCTCAATTGTATTTAACCTCGAATAAAAGCATCAGTGAAATAAATAAAAACAGATGCATAAACAGGCTGAGTCTTTCAAAGAGGATCAACAAATAGGTGAAACAAAGCACATCTAAACAAAAAAAAAAAGGCTCATCTTCTACAATGTCGGTCACATGGTACAAAAGAATGACTGTTTCCTAGTTCAGTCACATGACTTGTATGTTTAGTTTCACTTCCGCGTTTCGGATAGGACATGGGATAATAACGATAATCTGCGTAGTGAAAGTATATGATAAACCGTGCAACTATGTGGATTTCGCACGTTTGCGTTTGACAGTATCTGTAACCGATGATGCTTCCTGAGTTTTCTTCCCGCGTCTGATTTTTTTTTTCTTCATTTACACCGTTGCATCGCTCGTGATTTTCTGATAAGCGAGGTGACTATCCTAGCTTTCAATTAAGATTAGTAAGGCGTAATTAGAGGAACCAGTTAGCTGTAGCCACAGTAGTAAAGAATATTTATCCTGATTATATTCGATCTGTTTGGTCTCCTTAACGGTGCTGGACAACGCCGAGGTAGGTTGGAAATGAGCTAGCTTCGTTTAACTTGGGCCACAAGTTTTTTGAGGGAGTAAGCGTCATGTGGCTGTCACTGATTCTTCTCACTGTTCCGGTGATCTGAATAATATAAAGGCTAATGTGGAGTAAAAGGCTTTTAAAAAATCTTTCCATTTCTTCTTTGCAGTCCTTTTGGGAAGCTGATTGTCCTGCTCAGTCACTTCAGATTATTTTAGTTTAAGTGTTGTCAAATGCATGCCATTGTATTTCAGTAATCGTACGTCTTTCCCCAGAATACCATGTATATATTCCACAAAATGCCAGTGCTGTCTTTAGTTGTTCTGTTGGTCCTCGTCATTGAGGATGGGGAAGCTGGCAACAACACAAGCAACTGTAAGCTGGGCTCAGTATCGAAGAATTCACAGGCTGAGAAAGAAGCTCTGAGCAGATTGGAGCCCCTCACAAATAGGAAGTTAGTATGAGCCAAAAATCCCATCTCATCCTCCACCATCACTGTGTTATCTTATAGCAGATAGACATCTATTTAGACTTACACAATACAACAGTGTCCCACATTTCTGTAATCAGTCATTCATGATCACATTGTTATTTAGCTCTGATGTGATGTGTCCCACTTCTATCTCTAAGCTTCACTGTGAACACCGGTGGAGATGAAGCCTACTCCTACCAGTTTCGTGTGTGTGGTGATGCTGGGGCAATCCCCGGAGGAGGAGTCGTGCAAAAAGACAAAGCGGGAAAGGAAACTGTTATAGGGAAGTACACCGTCACAGAGGCTACTGGTGGCAGTAAGTACAGCTGTTTTATCTGATCTTCCTCCAACATTTTGGGAACATTGGGCCTCATTCACCAATATTTTCTTAAGAATTCTTTTAAATTTGTTACTACGAAATTTAAGAACAACCTACGTCGGATTCATGACGTGTTCTTAAGTAGCAGAATTGTTCGCACGTTTGTTCTTAAGAATGAATAATCCCACGTCTTCGTAACTGAAAGCGCGTTACAGTTTGTCCTAATTAGCATAGGGAAACGCCCTGTAATTTCCCATAAAAGGGCATGAGACTGCAGGGCCATGTGCAAGGAATGGTGAAGAGACGCGCAGGCTGTGAGCCGCTTCGCACTAAGAGGAAAAAAAACTTCAGTAATGCTTAAGTAGAAGTATTAATAGTAAAATCCCATTATAGTGGACTTGCTTATAACGGAATATCATCTTTAACGGACGAGGTCCGCAGGTCCTGGTGTTCTGTCGATATATGCTGCCTTGTCGAAAAATGCTACCGTAGTGCTAATAGATAGCCCTAACCCTAACTCTTACCCTAACCCTAACCCCCCAAAACCCCTAAAACCCTTACCTTAACCCTAACCCCTAAAACCTAACCCTAATCCCAAAACGGTGGAAATGCACATGCGTAGAAAGGCTCGATAGCACGTCTCGATAGGTAGTATTTTTCGACAGAACACCGGCCGTGTGCCTTTAAGAACATGCAGCAAAAGCATCAGATATAGCGGACTGGCATATAATGGAATTTCGCTTATAACAGACAAACTACAGCTTCGCCGACAAGGCGCTTGGCGTGCCGGTGATATCCAGCGCAGATACGTAGTCGGGATTATTAATAGTCATGCATCTGGTCAGGTAAAGTTGGATTACTACATGTACAATATAATAATCTATACCACAAGTATGTCTGCTGGGGTGTGGCATGAGTAAATGGTGTCCTTTAGTTGTGTTCTGGGCATACAGCAACTCTGGATATAACGGACTTCGGATATAATGGACTGTTTTGCCAGGTCCCATGAAGTCCGTTATAACTGGATTGTACTGTACAGGAGGTAAATGCAAATAGACACATTTTATGTAGCATAACCAGTAGATATAAAGCCCCCAAGAAAGCTGACACATGGAAAGATATCACCTTCTCAGTGAACGCTGTGTGCCAAATAAATCTAAATGATCTTCAAACATGCGTTCCCTTCTCAGACCACGATTGGCAAGCTCTTCAAGAAGTAACAGAAATGCCATTTTGATAGCAAGGCCAATGCGCAGACAGACCTATTTGATTGCCGTTACTGCCATGAAAATAATTTTTACACTTTAAAGTTATTTTTTATATTTTACTTTTATAAATTATTCAAATGCTATCATTTTATCAACTGTAGAATGAACAAAACTGCTATAACCAATTATTTTGAACAAACTATCATTACTCAAATGTGTGTACGAATGGTCTTGAGTGTGCGTAGATTCTGTTCTTAGCTAAGAACAAATTCAGATAAGAAAACATTGGTGAATGTTACATTCTTTGTAAAAGAATGCATACGTGGGGTTTAAGAACAAATTTGTTCGTAAGAACGGTTGGTGAATGAGGTCCATTGTGAACATTTTGTATGATCATAAGCTAACTGGGAACCTGGGTGAAGAATGGCTTTAGTAATGAAATTGTATATCACTCTTGCTTTACACTAGAGCAGGGGTGGCCAATCTTATCTGCAAAGGACCGGTGTGTATGTAGGTTTTTGGGATAACCTGTAGGTCAGCTGTTCAAACCTAGGTGTGAGGACTCTTCAGCCAATCAGTCCTCTAATTAGTAATCTAATTAGGGAGTTGCAGCGAAAACCCGCATACACACCGGCCCTTTGCGGATAAGATTGGCCATCCCTGCACTAGAGTTTCCCAACCCGGTCCTTGGGGACCTTCTGATGGTCCACATTTTTGCTCCTTCCCAGCTTCCTACCTGGGAGGGACTGTCTGGGTGTCTGAGCTGAGAAACATTGCATTAGAGACACTGTTTTTCCTGCTTTGTGGAGACTGCATAGATCTATAGATCCTGTAGATCAGTATACACTCACCTAAAGGATTATTAGGAACACCTGTTCAATTCCTCATTAATGCAATTATCTAATCAACCAATCACATGGCAGTTGCTTCAATGTATTTAGGGGTGTGGTCCTGGTCAAGACAATCTCCTGAACTCCAAACTGAATGTCAGAATGGGAAAGAAAGGTGATTTAAGCA